GTGTAATTTTCGCTGGAGTCGTTTCTGGAGGAATAGCAGCTATAAGTTCTGACGTTGCGCGTCTGGATCCAGGCAAATCCGCGGCCCGAGCCTGAGGAGTCTGCAACGAATTCGGCGGTAGGCGTTAAGACGACTGCGCAGGTTCCGTCGGTGCTGACTGTCCATCGGTCATCCCGAGCTGGACTCCAGTTCTGCTCAGATAGGAGTAGCACCTGGGCGCCGATGGAGGCAGAGGTCTGTTGGGCCAGGCTCTGGGCAGTGGCGCTCCGGTGGAGATTTATCTGAAGGAACGTGATCATGTTCGGTTAGTGGCGTTCATCTCTGAGATGGCTTTCCTTCGGGCGGCGCAAGCCCCGGAGCCGGGCTTGTGAGGCACGCGTGGGGCCTTGATGCGGTCACAGGCGACGCACAGGTCCGCACCCTCGGTGCATGTGGCCTCGGTGTGTCCGTTCTGTCCGCATCTTCGGCAGGCGTGAGAGAGGTCGGTGCCGGTGCACTGCCGCGTGGCGTGTCCGTAGCCGTGGCAGCGGTAGCACTTTGCCGGCTCCGGTCTGCGCGGGCGGACCCGGCACTGAGTCCAGCCGACGCGGACGGATGTCAGACTCCGACCGATGGCGATGGGCACTGTTGCAGTGGCCATTTGACGGCTGTCCCGCGTGGCCCACAGGCCGGTTATCTTGACCTCATCTTCAGAGAGGGGTTGGCCGTCCGGCGCGCTCTTCAGAATCGCGGCGAGGACCTCTTCTCTGGTGGTGACCTCGTCGAGGTCGGTTATTTCGATTTCGGCGGTGTGCCGGAGCCTGGTGACCACGGCTCCTGCCATGTTTTCGGCGAGCTTGTCACGGATGGCTGAGGTGGCAGCAGTGGCCTTTGCGCCCTTGGTCAGCTCGACGAGCAGGTCGCCTTTGAGCGTTCTCCTCATTGAAGTCACGTGGGTTCCGAGTCCTTCGAAGTCTATTTCGGTGCCCCTGACTTGGCGCAGGGTGTCTGCGTAGGACTTGCCTTCGGGGACCTTGACGAGCACAGCGGCTGGTCTCTGGACGATTTTCCTGATTTGCTGCGGTCTCGGGGCAGCTGGCTTCTTGGTTACCTTCTGGACCAGAGTGAAGGGGACTTCTTCATGTTCGATCGGTCGGTTTCCTGAGTGTTCGGGTTGATCGGTTGGCGGTACTTCAGGGACTTCGTTCCTCTGAGCCGGAGGTTTGGCCATGGGGGTCCTTGCGTCCAGCTTGGGTTTTTGGTTATTCCTCCTTCGACGACCGTTGGCGTTGGCCGATTGGCCGGTTTTTCCGGCGGGCTGGGAGGAAGTCGTGGGCTTCGGTGCGTTGGCGGCAGGAATGTCGATGTTGGGATCGGTGGCGGTGGAGGCATCTTTTTGGCCGGGTGGCGGCCGTTGATCCTTGTCGAGCAGTTTCAGAGCTTTGCAAACTTGCTCGAGTGCTTTGGTGACTTTTGACAGGCAGGGGCCGATGTAATCCTCGGAGTAGAACTCGTCCGCGAGGCTCTGTACGAGATCACAGGCATATTCCGTGGCTCTGGTGGCTGCGATGAGCGCGTTGCCGGAGTCTGAGGTGGTCGGTGTATTGGTTGTTGTCGAAGTAGCGGTGTTGGGCGTCTTCTTCTTCTTCGTCTTCTGGACCTGGGAGTCTGCAGCCGGGGAGCTGGCTTGCTTCCTCTTGTGATGAGGGCCGTGGTCGGAGAAGGCGTCCATTTCCCAGTCGTCTGGGACGGAGGACGGCATGGCTGACTATCCTGAAAAAACGGGGTCGCGAGGGCCAAGGGAAAAAAAAAAAAAAAAAAAAAAAAAAAAAAAAAAAAAAAAAAAAAAAAAAATTTTCGGTTTTTTTCTGTTGGGGGGACCTCGTCCGAGAGGTGCCTCTAGGCCTTGTGCCCGAGTCCTGAGGTCGTGGGACCTTTGTGGCCGGAGTTATTGGCGTTTTAAGAAAACGGGGTGAGGGGAAAACTTTCGCGTGGGGGTGGGGGCCGCTGCCCCAGCCACGTGGCTGTTTTCCGCAGCGCTCTCCGAGCGCTGGTTCTCGCGCACCGGCGTTTTCAAATTTTCCGAATTTTTCGGGTGACCAAGTGACGTTCGCGTCCCGAGTCGTTCGCGTCGCGTTGACGTTAGAACGAATGTCGCGGATTTGCGACCGGCCCGATGGCAGTGGCAAAATCCGTTATCACGGGGATCGGAGCCGCGTGATAGTACGGGCGGCCGTGTTAACCTTATGGGGTGAATTAATAGTTAACTCACCTGGGCCCTATTGAACGGATTGGCCCGCTCGATGTCTTGTACGTTAGAGCTCAGCAAGGCGGACCGAAACAGCTGATGGGCCTAGACGTGGGTCGTCCGGTCGTCGCTGGGTGGTCGCTTTTGTCAGCCGATATTGTACTTAGCAATAGTTGGTCTGGAGGGCTGGTTTCTGCAGCAAAACTGACGTTCGCACTCGCGTTGTGACCGGACTGTCACCGTACACTTAACGCGCGATCCGGATTTTGCGATTGGGTTCGCGGGCGTCGGGTTCGGCGAACTTTGTGCGGCTGCGTAATTCGGTAGCGATTTTTCGCGGAGGCGTCACAAAGCGGCGTCGGCTTTTGCCGGGCGGCCAGCTACGGGCCCGCTGAGTACACCAAAAGATGCGCACGGGCGGTGCGGATTTTTTGGTGGTTCGAACGGGTGCGTGCGGTGTTTGGGTGGTGAGCACCAGCGGATCTGGTGTTGCCGTGAGGTCGGGCGGCCGAGCGCGGTGCACTTAGGTCGCCGTATCTCACTGGGTTTAAGACCTACGATCGCGCGCGATGGCTTTTTCACTTAGTGGCGGGCAGCTGAAGCGATTGAGCCATGAAACGGGCGAATCGGAGGTACTTTTTGGTCGAACTTTTTATCGGCGGCGGGCGGCGGAATTTCACGCACTGTTTTCGCGATTTCTCGGGCGCGGCTGGGCCGATTTCGACGCGCGATGTCTTGGCGTGACGGCGGAGTCGAGACGAATCGATAGGTACCTGAATCGATCGGATCGGTTTGGTGTTTTCGGCGAAAACAAAAAACTCAACGGGAGCGATACGGAGGTGCGTGCTGTCGGTTTCGTGGTCGGAGCCGGACTTAACCCCTAACCTAACCTAACCTAACCTAACCTAACCTAACCTAACCTAACCTAACCTAACCTAACCTAACCTAACCTAACCTAACCTAACCTTGTATTAAATTTTCAAATCTTAGATTTAAAAAGAAAAAATTTTATGAATTCTCAACTCAAAATAGTTTGCTACCTAATTTTTATGATTTCTCAGTATTTTGTCAAGATTTGATCTTTAAATGCTTATAAAAAAAAACTGTGACTAAGGATATTTTTAATATTTTTCAAATGTCATTGTAACAATATAGTAGGAGCCTTGTATTCAATTTTCAAGCATTTTTACACAACAAATACAATTTTATTGACAGTTATAGAAATAAAAACTAATAAAATTAGACACTGAAAATGTTCGTAAACAGTTCCAAACAAATCAAAATATTTTGAAAATTTGATCGTGTATAGAAAATGCAAACATAAACAACCAGTGAAAATGTCATGTATATACATTCATTTGTTATAGAGTTACACCAAAAACCAAAATCAATTTTGCGGAAATACGATTTTGCGTAAAAATTCCCGTTTTCCTCAATTTTTATGTTATTTATCATGGTGCTTTTGAAAACTATTGTGAATTTTTACCTCCCCAATGCACCAACAATATTCACTTTCCCATCGAACAAGATACTGAAGTTGAAAATCGAAGCATTATTTCGACTACTTATCGTGTACACAGACACAAATAAAAACATTTACATCATTGTAAAATCAATACATTCATCGCTCTGCTCAGAATCTAAAGTAAAAACACTTGACAATATTTCACTCACGAATATATCGTGTGAAAACAGACTAACCTACAGATCGGCGTCGTGTATTGTATAGCATATTATAAAATTATAAATTTATAACAAAAATATCGTATAATTAAACTATATTATGTCCATATCTAATAGGTACTTTCATATTTAGAATACTAGACCCATTTATTTTTCACTTTATCGTTTGACAAATTGTTAGTTAAGATATGACAAGTTATTATGCTCTGGCAGTGTGACGCTTTATTATTGTGATAATGTAGTATTGAGATTGCTAACTGAAACTCTTAACTACTCAAGCTATTTAGTATAGAATATAGATATATGACTTTTAAGTTTCAACATTATCTAAAACTGACTGGTTAGTGGTTAACGTTAACATTATCTGGATACTGTTGATATTTCATGTTTGTAAACGAAAATTACATACCTATTAACCAAAAGTCATGGTTAATGTCGACATTATCTAAATGTTAACATTACCCGTAACATATTCATATTTCATTCATATAGAATGTTTATTGTACGTATAAAGAAATTATTTTGAATTGAAAGCGTGACATTTGTCAGTGTCACTTATATTTTCACACGTTTACTCCGATGATTCAAGCGGAGATCTGCAGCCTTCCAAGAGAAGTTTCCACTTCAAAAATTTAATAGAAATTACGTTTATTAGAATATAAAAACGGGTCATTGAACGGAGTAGGACTGAGTCGTGGATATCCAAATTATTCGGATAGTCCGTAAAATCCGGATTTCATATAACTGGATAATCCAGATTTTTAAAAATCGAATATGCCCATCTTCATGAATAGGCTTGTAGGTAATATTATACCGGTTTTAAAACACCGCGCATCCAACCACCACCCATTAACTAGTATTGTACTGCGTGTGTGACACTTGGGTCTGTCGTAAGTATTTCGCCGTTTCTCATGGTAGTACTTCAGTAGACAGTAGTAAGTACACTTCTACACCAATACCTACGTAGTAGAACAGTTTATTTGGATTTATTTATAGTAGGTACCTCTTATCCGTCTATCCAAACCAAATAGCACGGGTTTAGATAGGGTTATTGGAATACTATAATACCTATTACCTACCTATTTTCCAAATGGCTCAAGTAAGAATAAATAATATAAAGAAACGTAACTACATTTATAGTTTATGTAATATCATTATTAATTGTATGACATTCCAGTTAGATAAAGTTGTGGCAGCATATCGTGTGACCTCACAATATCCGGTATTATTATCTGCTAGAATAATTAATTCCTCAAAAGCTTCTGTTAGTGTTCAATCTGTTTGGATACAAAAAGTTTTGGAGAGGCAATCAGTGATCAGGTTCCGGCAAACTGTATTTTCAGATTATAAGACTTATACCTTAACATCACCGCCAACTGACATAACAAATGAGTATAAATACACATAAGCCATAGTAACATTATTCATTAGTACCTTAGTACCTACCTATATGACAAAATAATAAAAAATAAATAAATAAATAATACGCATTTAGGTTGATGAGCGCATACTCAAAATCATGTAAGTATTTTTGTGTGGTCAGAGAAGTGGAATCTGGAAATGAAATCAAACAGTACTTAGAAGTATGGGCTGATTGTTCACTGGTAAAAAATTATGACTTGAACGCTTTAGATGTGCACGGAAAAATTTATGCTGATTGTAAGTGTGAATAATTATAACATTTACATAATTTATTACTATAAATCTAATTTAATGTGTTTTGTACATTCTGATTATTAATTTATAGCCGAATTTGGAACTTTAGAGTGGTCTCCTGATGAGACCAAAATTGTTTACATTGCTGAGAAAAAAGTTCCAAAGTCAGAACCATTTTATAAACAAAAACCAAGAGCACCGCCTCATAAAGATGGTGTGGATAATAGTGACACTGTGCCGGTATACCTATTGATCATTTTTGAAATTATGTGAGATATTTATATTTAATAATAATGATGAATATGTAGGGTAAAGAATATGATTGGACTCAAAATTGGGGTGAACAGTTGGTCGGAAAGATTACTCCAGTTATGGTGGTATGTGATATAAAAACAGATACTATAGATGTTCTTTCAAATATTCCAAATGATGTTAATCCTGCAACTGCAACATGGACACCTGATGGAAAAGGAGTCGTGGCAATTGGACATATAATCACATCTCGTAAATTGGGTCTAACTTACTGTGCTAATAGTCTTAGTATTGTATTTTCTCTCACGTTAGATGGCCAATATGGTTAGTATATTACGGACTACTGTGTATTATGTAGTATTACTTTCATTTTTAAAATTAAAATACAACCTATTATCATTGGATTTTTTTTTCAATTAAATTTTTTTGAGTAGGTACATATTTTGTGAGCCGAAAATCTAATTTTGAATACCTAGTTGTTTTGCGAAACCTCTCTATTATTATTTAAAAAATACTCAAATATAGTAAAAAAGAATAGAGATATCAAATATTAGTTATTACCTATTGTAATATTATGGTTGATAAAGGTGTAACAAGATATTTTATATTTAATTGAATATTCTGTGTTTCTTTAAACTTGTTAAGGAAGTGCTTGTTATTTTTTATAGTCGGTAGAAAATAGTTAACAATTTAATTAATAGTTATAAATGATTAAATAATGTTGTATTCTAATTTATTTATTGGTTCTAAAATATTTATTATTAATGGTGTCTTTTGACTTTTAAGTATATAATAATTTTAAGTAATAGTAGGTGCCTGGTTGGGCAGTATAAATTCTGTTATTTACTGTTTTAAATTAGAAATTATTATTAGATACCTATCAATTTATAGGTATTTTCACATAAGTTAATAGGTAGGTATGTATTAATTATTATACACTTTACTAATAATTGTACCTTAAATAGTTATTATTTTATTGCTATAGATGTGTTGAGTTCCAATTCTGAACAATTGTGCGTGAGGTATCCAAGGTTCAATTTGAATGGCACAAAGCTTGTGTGGTTAGAACGCTTAGCAGGAGGACCACATAATTCGTGCTATAAGCTGATCTCCTGCAATTGGTCTACAAAAGAGGTTATTTTATTCATATTTTGTTTTTTAGTTCTATGAAAATTACGCTTAACATCACAAATTAATATAATTATTTATTATTACTTTAGACTATTACGGTCGTTGATTTTGACAATCGAATACTTCACAATACTGATTATTACAATGAACAATTACCATTTTATGGGCTATATGATCATCTTTATCCTATCAATATAATACCAAGAAATTGTTGGCTGAATGATCATAAGACCCTTGTATTGAGCACTCCACAAGGTGGTTCAATGCATACGTTCGCTATTGATACTGGTAATAACTAATAGTTGTACTTTATTAGTTGATATAGTTTATAGTGTCAGTATAGTGTTGTTACATAGTTTTATGTTATACGGACGTCGTACAAGCATGAGGTGTTTCCCGTACCTACATATCCAGTGGCGTATTTTGAAATTTTTTCTGGGGGGGGTCTAAATATTAGGTACCTACAAGTTTATAATAAAAAAAAAACACATACGAGTTACGATGTAATAATTATATTATATTATATTTTTTTCTGGGGGGGGTCCAGACCCGGGGACCCCCCCCGTAAATACGCCACTGTACATATCTAAATATCGGAACAAATCAAGTTTAGCTCCCATACGAATTTTTCGATTTTTTTTTTCGGAAACATGTATTTCAACGAGTTTAAAACGATGGTGCAAAAACAAATTGTCGGAAATGATTAGTTTTGAAGTTCTAGACTTACGAAGTTCACGATTTTCGGTGTTTTGTTCATATGCGCAACGATCTATTTTACCGTGCATATAATGTTGATTTGCTGTTGTAAAACTACCTTGGGTAAGCCTCGGAATTAAACAAAGTTGTTAAAAAGCACATAATGTGCTAGCGTTACCACTCGCTTGATGCGCTGCGCTCGGACAAAAAAATCGAAAATATCCTTTAAATAGGACACGGCGTCGCTATAATCCATACGTGGCATATGGTAGTCGCGATAACGCACAAGTACCAGTGAAAAAAATGCATTTTGATTTATAAGAAAAAAATATTTTATAAAAAAAAGCTCAAAAAAATGAATTAGGAGGGAAGGGGATTTGAATTTAGTACTTTTGGATCAACGGTACCAAAGCCACTAGGCAATGACTAGCAATGCTTGGCGGTGCAATATTGAGTAATAATATAAGATAACAAAATAAGTAAAACTTCATAACTAAGTTTTACCGACCAATTATGATTGCACCATTATTTTAAACGTACAAAAGGTGGGCAAGTGGGTGTCGCTCTGCTGTACAGTAGGTTACAAGTGGGTCACTGTATAATGGATGATATTAAATTTGAATTCAACGATATATTATCATTGTATAAGAAAAACGATTCTGAGCGGAGACGGTATGTCAGTCTAGGTATAAAACATATTATATACATATCTATGGTATTAAAATAAAATTGACCTATAATAAGTAACTATAATAAATTCCAAATTAATCATATCACAATATCCATTAGGTACTTATAAGCGTTATACATCAACATAAACCGTGATACTATCATAGATATATAATAGTACACTTTAAAAGTTTCAAGTACCCATGAATAATATTATACAATCACAACAAAATAACTAAAATAGTTATTCTAGGTTTTTTAATATGTAATATTGTTCAAATATGAATTTAAAATGTCTGTAAAACATAACTGTGCTCATATATTTTTTAGATTTTTTGGCTACAGTATGAACTATTTATGAGAATCTTTTTTTAAATTTTCAATCCTTAGCTATAAAAACTGAACATTTTATAATTTATTAATTACATTGATTGATATTTTCGAGATTTTGATAAATTTTGTCAAAATTTGATCTTTAAATGCTTATAAAAAAAAATTTTGCATACGTATTTTTAATATTTTTCAATGGCTATTGTAACAATATATCAGGAGCCTTGTATTAATTTTTACACTTTTTGGCCAAACAGATAAAACTTTATTCATTATTGATATTTATAGAAAAAAAAAACTAAAAAAATTGAAAACTGAAAATGTCCGTAAACGGCTCGAAAAAAGTCAAAATATTTTCAAAATTTTATGGTGTATAGGAAATACTAATATAAACATTCAGTGAAATTTTCATGTATCTACAGTAATTCGTTTTCGAATTACAACCAAATAAGGAAATCGCCACATGAGAAATCGAGTGAATATCCAATGTTGTAAAAATTTGAATTTCAAACGCTCATAAAAATTTAATTTGACTTTCTTATAGACTTTTTGAAGTTATACTTCTTTACGCACGGTAGTGAGGAAAAAAAAAGCGAACGGGCGGCGTGTACGAACGGGCGGCGCGTACGAACGGGCGGCCGTACGAACGCGAAAGCGTACATGTCCGTAAATAAATAAATATTGTCATGATAATGTTGTTTTATTATATATTATACCTAACCTAACCTAACCTAACCTAACCTAACCTAACCTAACCTAACCTAACCTATATATATATATATATATATATCTGTATATATAAAATAGTAAGCTTGATTGACTGCTATCAACGCACAGCTCAAACCATTGGACGGATCTGGCTGAAATTTGGCATACAGATAGCTATTATAATGTAGACGTGCGCTAAGAAAGAATTTTTCGAAATTCGCATTTTAAATAGGTGCTCAAACAGGGACATTGAGATTCAAGATGGAAATTGGAAATCTTATTTTTATTTATTAATAGTTGCCATTGGTTACAGTCTACATTAGAAATTAGCATTTATTTATTGGTTGCCATTGGTTATTCGAGCAGATCAGGTACAAGCTTGCATCAAATCAAATTATTGAACATTGCTTACCAGGGTGGCTGAGCTGCACTTACCCCAGCAAGTTACACCCAAAAGGAGTTCAACAATCATAATTTTTTTAAGAGTTGTAATTTTTTTCGAGCAACCAAATTTTTTTTTAATATTTTTTATTTTTATTATTATTATTAGTATTCACTCACAAATCTATTGTCTGGATAAAAACAATACTACAAACAATTATCCATCGATCTGTCGAATAAAAATATAAAAAAAATAATAAAAATATCAATAATAAATAATTCCGGATACTTCTTCTCATTTTTTAAATTAATTAATATTTTTTCTTTCTTTTTCACTCACTCACGTGTACCATTCAAAAGAAGTTTAACTTCCCGCGCGCGTACTGTTAACACACATGGTTTTCTTTTTTTTGATAAAGGTAGATAATCTTATAAGGAATCTTGTATTACATTTTCACATCTTAGATTTAAAAAGAAAAATTTTTACGAATTCTTAACTCAAAATAATTTGCTAATTTTCTTGATTTTTCCGTATTTTGTCAATTTTTGAACTTTAAATGCTTATAAAAAAAAATTATGACTAAGGACTTTTAATATTTTTCATCTGCCTTTGAAACCATATAATAGGAGCCTTCTATTAAATTTAGAAAATGCAAAATACCAACTAGATTCACTTTCCTATCAGAAAAGCTACTGATGAAGAAAATCCAAGCACTTTTACTGTCCTAAAACGTGATGACAGACACAAAAAAAAATAAAAAATAAAAAATAAAAATATAATAACACACATCATTGTAAAACCAATACATTCATCGCTCCGCTCAGAATCTAAAAAACACACATCATTGTAAAATCAATACATTCATCGTTTCACTCAGAATCTAAAAGTACATAGGTTTCTGAAAAAAAAAAATCGAAAAATTCGAATGGGCTCTAAACTAGATTAATACCCAGCACACTATTGAAACTGTTGAACGAAAATTTGGTATGTCGTATAATCGTCGTACGTGTGTAAGACGGAGTAACGGAGACATCACATGCAGGTGTGACGTCTTCTTAAACAAAATATCTTTGAAACCATAATTTTTAATTGTTTTTCAGAATCTAAAGATATCCGTTATCTTCCAATCACCAAACCGTTTCATGAAAGTGTTACTGTAATAGATGTTTGCAACAATGTTTTAGTTTGTCAAAAATCATCGCTTAATAATCCCGGACAATTATTTGCCATCAAAATACTTTCTACATATTTTACTAATATTTCCATTCACGAAATTTCGCCATCTCATAGTCTTCCTAATAGTGACAACTTTGTTGTTGAGCATGGTTATACTCTTTACAGTAAGATCCAAATAATTAAATTAATTACAGACATCTGTAATAAATATTTGATTTGATGTATAGATAAACCAACTACAATTTTCTATGGACCAAAAAATAATAATTGTCCTTTGGTTATAATTCCTCATGGAGGCCCTCATTTAGCATCTTTAGACTTTTATAGAGCAGAATTTGCATTCTTTGTTCAGATAGGTAATGACAAGTTATTTTAATATTTGTTTTAAAGTTTTTTTTTTTATTTTAGTTATTACCTACTTAGGTATTTGTTATTATTGACTTAATGACTTGTTACTAGGTTTTGCTGTGTTGCTTATCAATTATCGAGGATCTACAGGCCTAGGTAAGGATTATGTTGAATCAGCAATTGGTAATATAGGTGATTTTGATGTCAAAGATGTTTATAATGCAATTCAGTCGAATCCTTTGTGGTCCAATAGAAAATTGGTGTTATTTGGTGGTTCATATGGAGGATTTTTGGTTACACATTTAAGTGGACAGTATCCAGTAAGAACTGTTTTTTACATGACGACCATATATTAATGCACCCTAATAAAACATTGCATAGTAAACCTTTTTCAGTTACATTTTAATTTATTGAATTATTTAATTTCAGTCAGCATTTAAAGCAGTTTGTGCACAGAATCCTCTTGTTGATTTGGTTAATTTTTTTGAGTCGTCTGATATTCCTGACTGGTATGTTGTATACTTGTATTATTGTGTTTATATCAGGCTATTTCATGTAAGATGTTTTATTTTAGATTAAATTTAAAAGTGTATAAATTAGTATAATACTATAATATACCTAAGTCCTATAGTACCTATAAGTGATTAACTTAACAAAGATATACCTACTTATTTTTACTTGTTTGCAGGGCCATTACAGAAGCTGGTTATAACTACTCTGATGTAGATAGCTTGGAAAATTCTAAAGATGTTTTAATGAAATTAGCAGATTGTTCACCTTGCAAAAACGTTCATAAAGTTCAAGCTCCTACACTTTTATTACTCGGTGAAAAAGATGTGCGCATTCACCCATGCTCGAGTCTAGCATATTACCATCTTCTTAAGAAGAATGGTGTTACATCTAGGTAAATTTACTTTATTAATTAGTAGTTATTACTATAATAAGTTAAACTTGTTATATTTTTGTATTGCAGAGTGTTGATGTACGATGATTGTCATCCATTATATACTGTTGCCGCTGACATGGATAGTTATATAAATGCAGCACTATGGTTTATCAAGTATTTAAATAGTGATTTGGAAAAATCAATTAACTAAATTAATTATTAGTTATTAATTGTGAAAAATTTGGATATTACTGTTTTACATATTTATCCATAAGTACATGGTACTTCATTTGATTAAATACCATGGATAATAAAGAATGGATAGGCCACAGCCTATATTTTAATTTAGTCTGTGGTAGTGATATTATTTTGTTTTTAGCAAAACCATGAACTAAGATAATATGGACTGGAAACGATACTCGTATCGGCGGTCCAGTTTGCATACGGCCATTCCATTGAAGAGAAAATTGGGAGGCTAAAGAGCTATCTAGGTAACTTGTCTTATCCTGGCTCTTAATTCCGATAGTATTATACATAGGTTTAATCTTTTATCTATGATCATATATCTATTATATCTATACACGTTAATAGATTTATGCAAATCCCTATAACAAAATTATAATTACAATAATTCACCACCAAGTTCAGGGTGGTCTGTCAATTTCCCCTTCCACACAAAATCAGTATGAAAACTGGACTGACACTCACATCTGCCAGTCATATCGTTTCCAGTCCATATCATCTTAGTTCATGGCAAAACTAAACTTTGCGCCCTCTGTACTGAATGGTACCATTTATCGTTATGAGGATATTGTAGATCTAAAAACTTAGTTTATAAGATTTTACTCTTTATGCCGTTGCGGGATTAAAATAAGCTAGTTCTTAATTTTGTTTAATTATTTTAAGAAAATGTGATAAAAATGATTATAAAATAACAATTAAATAGGTTGATAAACTCAAAACTTTTCAACATGATTTATTTATTAGGCTATCTAATACAGAACTGAACAATAAGCTAACTTGATAAAATAAATAACTATAGTTAAGTAAATTATAACAGGAACATAATAAAGAAATCGTTCATTTGCTAGGTACTTTCACTAGACATGCTCCCAAATAAAAATTATTCAATTAATATTGGTACAAAGATTACAGAATGTAAGGCACTTTGAAAGAATTATTGTAATCAACTAGCTCAGATATTATGTAGGTACACTTTTTTTTTCATCTATGCTTTCTACAGCATTAAAATGTTCAATGATCAAACAAATAATTTCTTTTATCTGGAATACTAAATTTTAATTTAATAAATTCTGTAAATAAGTATTTAACACGTTCGTGGTCAGTTACAGTAATTTCAATTTTTTTCAATTCTAATGTAATGGTTCACTACTGCTATAGAGTATAGACACCGTGCAGCAATGCAACTAGCGCTCTCACGAACTCTAGCTGACAATATATGAACTTTGTCCGGGGAATTATTACACGGCATAATATACTGTAGCTAATTTAAATAGTGTAATTATAATTTAAGTTGGATGTTCCAAATTTAATTATAATTCCAAAAAAAATTTTCCAGCACAAAAATAAAAATGTAAAACGATCAAAGTGCTTTGATACTATTATCTAGTATAATCATAAATAATCTTTGTATTATTTTATTATATCTGCATAAAATATGCATACTTAAATTTTATAGATTAATTTATTATTATATTTAATATTGTAGGCATATCAGTATAATATCAGTATTTTTCCTGTTAATTCCAGCATGCTCCTGTTAATCCGTTTTCAAAGATACCTAATTAATTTAATAGTGAACACAGATTGATCACTAAATACCTATTAACTATGGACAACAATAAAAAGTCTAAAAACAATTGCTGTGTTGTAAACGTTTTGAAAAATGTAAATATTAATACTGTTAATGTAGGAAATTAAATATTGATATTACCAAATTTAAAATAAAATCTATGTTAATTGATTACTTATATAATTTAAATCTAAAATCTAAATAATCTCATTAAAAACAAACATTATATTATGTTGTTTTACAAAAAGGAAGTACCTATTAATTTTAAGTTTAAAGCTTAGTATTTTTATTAGGTTAGGTATTCGTATTTAGGTATGACGTGTTATATTATGATTCACATTAGCTTGTCCGTCTTTGATATATTCTAGCATTCTACTAGGTATTCATTTTTATATTATTTTACCCCTAGTTTTACTTTATACAACTCCAAAGTAACACTAGTCTGTCTTACAATGAAACCTGTAATAAAACTCAATCCCTCAACAAGTCTTAACTCTTCCACATTAAAAACATGATTACTCTCATAGAGCTATTGACCTTTATCATTGGTAAAATTAAAATGGGGTTTTATGTTTAGAAACAAATACCGAATTATTAAATTAGTCGTCATATTATTTTAAACTGCATTAAAATAAAAGTTAAAACTTAGAAAAACTAAAAACTTATAAGCAAAGTTTGTTTATCAGTTTATGTGATAATTTTATAATACTTATATATAAAGTTATATTATATTCAATTGTATATTGATTAAAATATTTAATCTGGTACTTTTTTTTCCATGCCATAAGAATTTTTAATTTTCTTCATTTCGGACAATAATATTATCTCAATTAAAATTAAAATACTAGGTTTTAATTTGGACCCGTCAAACGTCATATCCAATGTAAACGAGTGTTAAACTTACCCGGGAGTTTTTTATTCATTAACCACTAGACTGCACTCTGGTCGACCCTACGCACACTGTCTATAGCAGTAATTTACAAGCCCACAAAATCGGGCATTACTGCTCATGAAGTAATATTTCCAATGGTATTGAATGGAACTAAACTGTGACTGACCTATTATGATCACTCATAAGTTTGGGCATAGATAAATATAAAATTATATTTTTTAATAATTTTTGTTGATATTTTAAAAATTTGAGTAATTTTCCGAGGAGGGTAAATTAATAATATAAAATGTGAAATGACCACGAACGTGTTAACCAGAAAATGAATAAATAAATAGTATGAGGTGTTTACATTTTTTACTTGTAAAAGAAAATCAGGAATAATTTAAATAAAAAAGTTATAAAGTTCAATATGTGAAATGTAAGTAGTATTAGTTTTCGTAATTTACATTAAATTGAATTGTATTACCTAGATTAATATTGATCATATTCATTATTGCACTTTATCATAATTATTTAGGAACTAATTGTTAATTAATAATTAAGTTTGTTATCCATATACATATAGACATATAGTAGGTGTTCAACACTTCAACTTATGGATCTACTTTTTTAATAAAGGTCTGTGTTAGGTTTATAGTCAAATACCAAATATATAACTAAACTAGTTTTGTATACCATATGGTTCTCCAGAATAAGTTCCACATTCAAAAATTAAATTAATGGCAACTAAACTTTTAATGTAAATTGTAAACTCAAATAATAATAACTCATCCAGAAGATATAATCTTCTAAGTACTACAAAATTTGTTGTGCATATATATGTACCTATATTTTGATTTTTAGTGCAAATTATTTCTTTTAAGGGTGTTATAAGGGAGTTTGATTATAGTTAGTCACACCACAACTGTCAACTAATGACTATAATTTATAGAATTATTATTAGGTATATAAGATTACCAGTTTCAATAAGATTATCCCGTTGATTGTTATGATAGATCTCCAGTCCTGTAAAGTATTTGAGTAAAAGTATTCAAATACTTTTTTAAGTATTGAATAACTTTTTAAATACTTTCAGCATGAAGTATTTTGAATGGTATTTTAAATAATTTTTTTTTGTATTAAATACTTTTTGGTATTGAATACTTTGGTTTTTTATTTCGAACATTTTATTTTTATTCGAAATAATTTTAGAAATTTTAGAATAAATTAAGAACACAAAATAGGTAGTATCACCAATGGGTGGTTTCTTCCTTCAAAATATCAATCATACGCAAATACCCTATGCACATTTGCTTATTGTTCTAGTTAACAGATTGTAAATTTCATATATAAAAAAAAAAAAAATGTAATAAACATTTATTTAATAAATAATAAATAAAAATGATTATAAATTTACTACCTATGTGTCTATATTACAATAATTAGAAACCCACTTTAAAGTAGTATTTTAAATACTATACAATTAAAGTATTTGAGTAGTATCTTAAATACTTAAAAAAAAATGTATTTGAGTACTTACTCAAGTACTTTTTAAAATTATTCTTTACAGGACTGTAGATCTCTACAAGTGATTTTGATGCAAATTCATTCTTAAATATTTTTTTTCACCTTAATTATTTCAACTAGTGATTGTAAACTCCACCAGCATTATATTCTTACCTGTAATATGTATATGGAAACTCCGCCAGTGTTAAAGGCCTTGCTCAAATATAAGAAACAAATAAAAAAAAATGATGCTGTTAGAGAACGCTATAAGTACCTAGACACCTAGTTAATAATGGATTTATATTAGACTTGATACTTAATAGTTAGAATACCTACAAATTGTTCACATCACTTTGGTTCACGGTTCAAAATATACATACCTATTACCTATGTCCTACATATTTTATGATTATTATTTAATATTGATTACAATGTATTATCTATCATGATTTTTTGACGTAATACACATTACAATTCGTATGATTTGTTCAGATAATTATTATTTTTATTTTTATATATTTTTTGGCATGTACATTGTTACTATTATTTAATAAGAACGATTATTAATATTAAAAAAAAAAATTTTAATAATCATAATATTATACCCAAATAATTTTGTCTATCTGGTCGTAAAAACTCCAGCTAGGGGGAAATGCTAAAAAGTCCAATCTAAATAAGTTTCAATATTCAAATTATGACAAAATTAGTATAGGCCCCTATATACATAACAAACCATACCCTACACTTAATACTTATAGGTAGATTGTAACTTAAAAACAATTCACAATGAATCTAAATGTTCCTATAGAAAATGTCATTACTCATTACAGTATTTACCGTCATTGCCGTACCTACTCATTCAAATCCTCTCATCAAGAACTTATCATCAATCACAATCCCAGGAGCCCCCAAGGCGACTTAAACGTAAATGGTGCAGAGATTTATTACATTGAAAAAAAAATATAAAAAAAAATAATACACTGGACCAAATCAAATTAAAAGAGTCATCAATAGGTAGGTGGCTTCTAACCTAGTGGCTTCTTTCCCCAAATTTTTTATTTATTTATTTTATTTATTTATTTTAAACGCCATACAGCTTTTACAATATATTACTTATTAATGAATATACATTATAACATATTTATATATATATATACATATCTAAACATAACACATTGAATATCAATAAATTAAAATTATACAGTAGTACATAGTAGGCTCCTGAAAATTAAATTTAACGGAACAAAAACCTAAATTAGAAAAAATGTTTAACTAGTTTGACTATTAACTAAAGACATAGCTCTCCTTAAAGGATCATCATCCAAATAATTTTTTGACACTGAAGCAAGGTAGTAGGGGTCACGAGAACGGGTTGTACCTGGAATGCGAAAACCTATTCTAGATAACAAGTCTGGTGAGTCAATTACACCAGAGACTAAACCATTTAAAAGTTTAATATCACTCATATTTCTTCTTTCGCTTAGGGTGGATAAATTGAGTGCTATTAAGACGGGTTTATAGTCATGGGGTTCATGATTAATGCCCATAGATCGAGAAACCATGCTTAAGAAACGATGCTGAACACGTTCAATTCGAATAATATCACATTTGGTCCTTGGAGACCATACCACAGATCCATGCTCTACAATTGATCTAACTAGAGTAGTATATAATATTAACAAACATCTTACAGACATGACCGACCCTGCATGTCGCCTTATAAACCCTAATGATCGCAATGCTTTGCCTACTATCCAGTCAATATGAGGTGCAAACGATAACGTTGGAGTAAAAATAAAACCTAAATCTTCAACTTGGTTTATTCGCTGTAATATCACGTTATCAATAGATAATATGGTTTATGGAGTCGAAAGCTTTAGAAATATCAGTGAATATCACATTAACTTGACTCATATTTTTGAAGCTATCCCTGATAAACGCAGAGAATTCTAAGGCACTAGTTGTTGTGGAACGACCGCCATAAAACCCATGTTGATTTGTTGATAAAACTAGTTTAAACCTACGTTCAATACATTTATTAACAATCTTTTCGAATAATTTACCAATTAGAGGTAAACCAGAAATTGGACGATAATTAGATACTGACCCTGGGTCTCCTGATTTATAAATAGGTGTTACCTGGCTCGTTTTCCATATTGATGGAAATATACCTTCAGCTAATGAGAGGTTAAATAAATACAATAGAGGATATTTTAACTGTGCCCTAATACTAAATAAAAATTGAGCTGATATACCATCAGGCCCACGACTCTTAGTTGTTCTCAGGGATAATAAATTTTCTTCTACCTCATCAAGTTCAATAGTAAGTCTAGAAGGCAGAAATGTAAATGGTTTAATGCCAATATTTTCAGCATTCCAATGTGGGGGGGAGGGGGTAACGGTGATTTATAAACGGAATTGAAAAGAAGTGCAAATAGATTTGCAATATCAACGTCTGATGCAATAATATCACCATAATTCATGACATTTGGGATACCTGATGTATTTCGGCGATTATTGATAAACGACCAAAATGTATGTGGGTCATTCTGGAGAGAAGTATTTATCCTACTTAGATAGGACTCATATGCCAACCTTGACTCGAGTTTAACTTGAGCACGTAAAAACGAAAATCTATGACGATAGTGCATTGTGCCAAACTGTTTCAGTTTTTTGTGTGCAATTTTTTTATCAATGATTAAATTTTTCAATTTAAGTGTTACCCATTTGGGGAAAGTTGAGCGACGAAATGTATGAACTGGTACATATTGCTCAATTAACGTTATTAACGTTATACTGATTTTGAAATTGCTGCTATTAATGCCATCAATGATATTTTTCCATTTGCAATGCATTCTGCGTGTTTTTTTCACTTTTCGCAAAATATTTATCGTCACATACAAAAGTAAGGATTAACGACCAAGTATATGGAAGATCAAAACTTCAACTTACTTTGTCGACATTTACCAGCATTGGCTTTCCTTCCGGTTTCCAAAGTACGTATAAAACACGAATTTTAATACCCAGCATTATTGTTAATATCAACATATTTTCGCATATTTTCCTAATAAATATATATTTTATTTATATAGGTCAATGAAAGTTGGAAACTGCTTAAAACTGAATTTTCGAATGATGAAAGGGAACAAAAATTAATAGATTACTTCGAAACAACATATGTTATTGGTAAATCAGTGAGACTCCGCGGGCGAAATCCACAAGTAAAACCCCCGTTATATCCACCAGAAATATGGTCAGTAGCTCAACGAGTTGAATATGAATTGCCACGCACTACTAATATCACTGAATCTTGGCATAGTCGTTTAAATAGGTAATTTTAAAATTGGTAAAATTTATATATTTTATATTTTTTAATATAATATTATACTAGGTTGATATCGAAACATCCAGGTACTTATAAATTCATAACACTTCTTCAAAAAATGCAGAACGAGAACGAAAGTTTAATTGAACAATTTATTCAAGGCAGAATTGCAAAAAAAATAAAGGTATCCCGACAACAACATGAAGATAGAATTAAAAATTTAGTTTTAAGATTTAAAAATAGTAATCAAAATAACATTGAGTTTTTAAGAGGCATTGCGTACAATTTAAACTTTTAACTTTAATATATATACATTTATACAAACATTTTTTTTAAATAATATTATATAATAATTTAAATAATTTATACATTAATTATTAGTTTTTTAAATGTTTATTTTACTTGACGATATACCTATAGATTTAATAAGAAAAGAGATTTATAAAGAAATTAATAATTTAATATATGTTAATATATTTAATAATATATACATTATTCATATTATTAATTATTATTAATATTATTCGAACTAAAATTCATTCGAACAAAAATTCATCCGAACATATGCTTTTTCGAACATTTTTCATTCGAACATATTTCATTCGAACATATCATTTTCGAACACACAACCCCTCGTCTTACAGAGCCTGCATCCCCTCGTAAGGAAGGCTTATAATTTTTTTATGAGCAAAGAAATAATAACGATGGGACAAAGAGTACAAATAAGCACTAACTTAGTCTAAACCAATCTTTAGCCAAGTGTTTTACTACATTTTAAGGTCTATTTTGATTTTTGAGTTGTTTAATCAAGCGTATTACGTATTTCCTTGGTTAACTTTTTTAAAAATGTTTTCGTTTTGGTTTTTGATTTAACAGTTAGGGATACGAATTTTTTCAGTAAAAGTGAAAATGATCCATATACGCCATTTAGTTATTTCTAATAGTTTTGCAAGATAAAAACGTATATTTGAGAATTTTGATTTTCACAATAATTACGATCACGTAAATTTTATAATCAAACTCATGCAAGTAAGTTATTTGAACCTAAAAACTACGAGACACCTATGGACACCTTTTGATTACTTTTACCAACCAACCTCAAGCAATTTCCGATAAAACTCTGTGGGCTGTAGTCCACCTGTCCTCGTTTTAGGATTCCAGATCATCCCCTTGTAAGAAAGGCTTATACCTAACTTTTTTTACTAGTAAATAATAATAACGATGGGACAAAGAGTACAAATAAGCACTTACTTAGTCAAAACCAATGGGACTGATTTGGACCAAACAATTCAATATGGGGGGTGCCGGAACGTCTTTACAACCCCCTAATTAAATTTATAAGGATAACTCCGGAAGTAGTAGAGTACTGACGTCGAAAAAGTGGTACAGGATATCAGTAGCAAACTACTAAAGATTGGCTCATTTGGAGATCCAATATTTTGAATCGGGGCTGCATTATGGCTCCATACCACCCCCTCCCACCAATGATCCCCTGTAGTTAATTAGTGGTTGCAGCACAAACGATGAAACTCGAGCACAATCCAGCACAAACGTAGCACAAACGAATGGCATAATTTAAATTTGAAAATTTGGAGGTGGGGGTGCAGCCATTTCGCTGGCACCCCCACTAAAGATCCGTTCTAGCTCATTAGGGTTTGCAGCACAAACGATGAAACTCGAGCACAAACCAGCACAAACGTAGCACAAACGAATGGTGTAATTTAAATTTTAAAATTGTGAGGTGGGGGTGCAGTCGTTTCGCTGGCACCCCCAATCATTATCCCTTATAACTCTTTAAGGGTTGCAGCACAAACGATGAAATTCGAGCACAATCCAGCACAAACGTAGCACAAACGATAGCCCTTGGTTTGAATCCAAAATTCGGAAGTGGGGGTGCCAGGGAAATGCCCCTCGTATTATTTTATTTGGCTGTAGATTTAAATCCTCGCATGCTTTCCTTTTGCACTTACCTCTAACTTCCAGCAAGTTTAAATCTGCAATAGCATTCGGTTCATGTTCATGGCTGTCTTTGATATCGATTAGTGTTGATTTTGAACAATTCGTTTTTACATAGGTACGCACTACAATTTTTTTAACGCGACGCCAACTTATATTTCTCGAAACCAAATTTCTACTAAAGTGAAATTTAAAGTTACGAAAAATTAAACATTCATGATTTTTAGTAGTATTTATTATTTTAAAATCCATTTTTATACACTCGCAACTCAAGTATAATACTCTGGTTAACTATTTGTAAGCACAACGCATGAACAGAGAAAAGTGATAGTCGTCATGAAGTGCAATTAAGATAAAATGGATGGATATTCGATAATATCGATAAGACTGTAACGTAAAAATTAAAAATAGTTAAAACTGGTAAATAATATGTACAATAGTTACTAGTTAGGTACAAGGTAATAAATCGTATTGCATTATATCCAAAATACAGTTTGGCAACGTTGCATGGTTTTAACGAATTTTTATTAAAAATATTTCGGGGCCAAATGGGTTATGGATCCCCGAGCCTGACAACTATAGCCGTAATATCTATTATATGAATTATGGTTGATAGGGTTGGTACGGTTGTAACAGTTTGTTAGTAAATTAATATTAATTTTTCTCACAATCAATATTTGAAAATATTTAATAATAGAATGTTCAGTATTCATTCTTTTTTTGGTTTACTTAAATTATAGACATAATTTTTGATAGCTTTTAATATAAGAATAATAATACTTATGAGCACTAAAGCAATTAATAAAAGGACAATTAGAATATCAATTAAAATATATTGATACCAAGATAATTTCAGGGCAGCTGTTTTTAAATGATGTGCACCTTTATGTCTGATTACATATTCTGTCCAATATATTACTTCTTCTTTTGGTGTTTTCGGTCGATCCTTAAATCTTCTAGAAAGTTCCATCGCTTTTAATTTGTATCTATAAATGCAAAATTATATTATATTCTAGAACATTAGGAAAAAGAATATTACCTACATGTATCATGTTTATTGATTCGATATAATAATATTAAACTATAGACTTTCTAGACTTCTAGAAAGCCATGATAAGTAAGAGATTTCCGATTGGCCAACTGGTGTGATACCAGCCATTTATCAGCCAAAACAATTAACCATGTTTTTTTTAAATTTAAAAAGCATAGACAAATATAACATATTATATTATTGTTTTGGAATCAAATCTTTCATAATTCATTAGCGAATATTCACAGTTAAATTGAAATTCAAACCAGCCACTTTACAAAATAAAAAACAAATAGGTAGGCATTACTATATTATTAAGGATCTCTACAATAAATTATAATAGACTAGAGTTTTGAGAGTTATTTTTGTATTATAGTTATAATTAATAAAAAATATAATATAATAAGTAATTTTATAAAATATAAATAAATAAATATATATAAATACTAAAAAATATAATATTGAATTAATATGTGCGTGTGTACTATATAGTGTCAGTACACACGACAGAACTATAGAAGTAAATACTAATTTTGATTGGAATTAAAATAATAAAATAAAACATGACTGCTAACATGATGCTAATATTAAAATAGTAGAGTGATAATAATTTAGAAAAACAATACCTTGGTAATAAAGAAGACAAGAAACATATTATAAAGAAATCTAAATACGTATACGTTTATTTTTCACTTAAACAGACAACTCTAATTCCAACAATACGTCTCAGCGATTACCTGCATTCGGACAAAATATTCTTATTTTTTAGAACATGTACGAGTGCTCGATTGAAGCACATTTTAGATTCTGAGTAAAACGATGAATGTATTGATTTTACAATGATGTGTGTTTTTATATTTTTTTTATATTTTTTTTTTAATTTTTAATTTTTGTGTCTGTGTACACGATAAGTAGTCGAAATAATGCTTCGATTTTCGACTTCAGTATCTTGTTCGATTGGAAAGTGAATATCGTTGGTGCATTGAGGAGGTCAAAATTTAAAATTCTAAGTACTTTTCAAAAGCGCCAAGAAAAACAAAAGAAAAATTAAGGAAAAACGGGAATTTTTACGCAAAATCGATTTTTCAGAAAATTGAATTTGGTTTTTGGTGTAACTTTAAAACAAATGACCGTAGATACATGAAATTTTCACTGGTTGTTTATATTTGCATTTTCTATACACGATAACATTTTCAAAATATTTTGATTTTTTTTTTGAACTGTTTAGGGACATTTTCATTTTTCATTTTTTTTTAGTTTTTTTTCTAAAAATATCAATAAAATTTTATTTGTTGGTTAAAAAAACTTGAAAATTTAATAGAAGACTCCTAGTATATTGTTTCAAAGACAGATGAAAAATATTAAATTCGTTAGTCACAGTTTTTTTTTATAAGCAATTTAAAGTTCAAAAATTGACAAAATATGGACAAATCACAAAAATTAGCAAATTATTTTGAGTTAAGAATTCGTAAAAATTTTTCTTTTTAAATCTAAGATTTGAAAATGTAATACAAGATTACTCATAAGTTTGTCTACCTTAATCAATAAAAAAATCTCTACCGGACAGTCAAATTAAATTTTTATGAGCGTCTGAAATTCAAATTTTTACAACATTCGATGTTCACTCGATTTCTCATGTAGCGATTTCCTTATTTTGTTGTTATTCATAAACGAACAACTGTAGATACATGAAAATTTCACTGAATGTTTATATTAGCATTTCCTATACACCATACAATTTTGAAAATATTTTGACTCTTTTTGAGCTGTTTACGGATATTTTCATTTTTAAATTTTTTTAGTTTTTTTTTTCTATGAATATCAATAAAGTTTTATCTGTTAGGCCAAAAAGTGTAAAAATTTAATACAAGGCTCCTGGTATATTGTTACAATATCAGTTGAAAAATATTAAAAATACACAGGCACAGTTTTTTTTTATAAGCATTTAAACATCGAATTTTGACAGAATTTTTCAAAATCTCGAAAATTATTAATCATCGTAATTAATAAATTATAAAATGTTCAGTTTTTATAGCTAAGGATTGAAAATTTAAAACAAAAATCCACGTAAGTAGTTAATTCTCTTACCGAAAAATCTAAAAAATATACAATCACAGTTTATTTTTATAGTCATTTTATGTTCAAATTTGGACGAAATTACATATTAAAAAACCTAGTTATTTTGTTGTGATTATATAATATTATTCGTGGGTACCTACTTGAAACTTCTAAAGTGTACTATTATATAGGTATCTATGATAGTATCAGGGTTTGTTATTGATGTTGATGTATAACGTGTTATAAGTACCTAA